ATTCTAAGATTTGATTTACATTTCTAATTAAAGTTGTTTTTGATCATACGTATAGATAATTATATAAAAATTCCAAAATTCTAAAATTTCAAATACATACAAAAACAATCATATGTAAATTTTAAATTTGTGAATATTAAAATTTTATATTTTAATTACATATATTCACCCTGCGCAAGGCGCAGGTCTTATCCTAGTTCTATATGATTTTCAAAAAAATCTGATTATCAAAAAGTACAGAGTAAAGTTAATATTTTTTGTCATATAAAAATTATAATAATTGAAACGAGTAAAACACAAACCTAAAGCCCAAATTTATGTGTAAAAATAATCATTGATAAATGCAGTCTGAAAGAAAGAACACACCGATCTCTACATCAGATAAAAATATGTTGAAGAAATTTCAAAGAACAAAATAGTCGACCTGAAACAGTATCCAAAGTTTGAATAACAAATAACTGATATTTGCATCAGTTCAAGCCATGCCCGATTCAGAGCACATGCAAGTAAGGTCCAAAAAAAATTATGGCAATTTTAAATTTAGATTTTAAAAAAAATTTATAAAAGAAAAAATGCTAGTTTTTTTAAATTGAAATATGGTCTATACTGAATATGAGCCAATCCTGGTCCAACTATATCGTAATGCAAGTGAATATAGATGGATTTTCAAGAAAACCGGTTGAAAAACCTTATAATGTACCAAAACAAAACATCCACTACTCCATGGTCTACAAAAATTCCAAGATTTTTTATACCAATGCAAAGAAGAGACCGGAGATCATAAGAACCTGAAAACGCTGCTACTTTGCTTGACATGCTACTTGACCAAATCCGAACGGACAAAGCCCTCATATATGAACTGGCAAAATACTTCTGCCGCATACCACAAAAAAATTGAACCGATTACATTATTACAAGACAAACAAAGGATCAACATAGAAATAAAAAACCATGAAAGCTTCTTTCTTGACCAAAAAGACAAAAACAAACTCTTATGAGACACAAGTCACTCGAAACATGAACACATATTTGAGAAGGCTTGAACCAGCTGCTTCTGTCGAGCTTTATCGAGGTTAACATGAGAATACCACATCTAATAGGAAGAAGCAGCGGCGATCTAACATATTATTTACCATGAAACATAAAGTTAACTAACTAAGATATAAGAGCATCACCATCAGGTAGTATCTGAATATGAGTATTAGCTTCACAGATTATTATTACTTTATTTTAATGTTCTTAAGTAATAAAATATTAATTAAAATGGTAAAACAAAACCAATGAAAAATAGACATCTAAGCAGCAAAAGTTCTATACAGATTCAGAAAAAGTGTGTGCCGAGATACTTTTATCTCTTCTGTCTCTTACTTTTAATTGTTTAACAATATATAAACATAGAGACATTCTTCTTCATCCCATCGTTAAAGGTGTTCTAAGTTACCTAACTAAAGAAAAAGTTAGAATGTTATAAATAGTTATGAATGCCAACTCAAATCTAATATCTTATGGAATAGTATCATATTAATATATGTTTACGTTTAATTTCGTGTGTAACACCATAATGTAGATGTTATTTGTTAGTTTTAGTGTCTTTTCATTGGGACATAAATCATTTCATGGTACTGTGATTTAGTAACAAGTAATAAATCTATTTAACATGTTAAATTATCTCATTGTATCTAACATTTTGTTTATTTTTGTTACTTAGTCATTGAATTTTCAGTTTAGATGACAAACTCAAATAATGAGTTGACTATATCATGCTCAAACTATTCAATTTGATCATACGCTTTCGAATCATTATGCGAACTTACGAAGTTGTGAAAAGAAGATCGGAGAAAAAATGTGAAGCTGAACAAAAGGAAGAATAAATGAGATAGAGAAGAGTGAGGAAGAACAGGCTATCTTACACTATTAAAAGGGTTTATTCTAGAGATTTTAAGCTATCCACGTCATTTATTATATTCAACCAATAAGAACACTATTAAAAGGGTTTATTCTAGAGATTTTAAGGTATCCACGTCATTTATTATATTCAACCAATAAGAATATTTCATTCTGCCACGTCACATTTTTCTTCGCCTCTTCGTTCTTCTTCTATGGCGACTCTCGAGTCTCGATTTCTCGAATTTCAATATCTCGACCGAAGTCGTTTCATAGACACCACTCCTTCACTCCACCCCCTTACCATGAATCCCTCTTTAATTGGTTCATCTCGCCTTCCTAACTCTGGATCTATGAACAAAGTATCAACCCAAATAACGATTTCTAATTATAAATGTAGCAAGAAGATGGCTCACGCTTGCGTCTCCACATCGGCGTCTTCCCTCAGGTTTACAGCCGGATTCGTCTCCGTGAGTCCCAACGTCTCTTTCTTCGATTCTCAGAAGCTTTCTCTTTCGTTCAAGGTAGAGTTTCTTCTTCACGAAATCTTAGGGTTAATTTAGGGATTTTCAGTGAATCGTTGGCCACTTTGCAGAACAGGTATTTCATTTACCGTACTTTCTCATACTCTAAGTCAGTTGCAAGCATGCGTGGTTGGCCTGATCTCTTTGGCGTTTATAATTAAGGCCTACTGCATGATCGAGAATGGATGATTCAGGGTCTGACGGGAAAACTTATTACCCA